GAAGGGGGGATCCAGCTTGGGCGGGGGGGGGGGGTTGTTATGACCCCTGCCCCAGCTTGCCACTCCTCTCCCATCTGACATCTTGCTCAGCTCATCACTGATCCTCAGGCAGTCCTCCTCCACGCTCCCAGAGTGAAGTCAGACCATCCCCTGGATTCCAGGGGATGGTCCGTCTCCCCCAGCAGAATGAGGCAGGTGGGAACAGTGTCCTGCTTGCTTCTGCACCACAGAGACTGACAGCGAGGAAGCTCTGAGGCACAGTGTGCTGAGTGGCTGCCGCCTGGACGTGTTCTTTCTGCGGGCACGTGCTTACGGACGTGCGTGGCTGAGATGCTACCATGGGTCAGGGTACCAGTGGAGCCCAGTGGAAAGGGCTGCCCTTTGGAAGGAGACCAGGTTCTGAATCCTGCCTCCACTCCTCACCGGAACCTTTACAGGGCTCCTAGTGAGGCTCAGCTCTGTCAGCTGTAAAATGGGCCTGCTCTCTGGCTCGTTTTCCAGATGATGAAGGTTAAATAAAGGTTATGGAAAGTTTTCAGGTTGATGTGTGGCTCAGAGCTCATCAGAGTGGGGACTCGAGAAACAGCAGCTATCTGACCGGTCTGTAAGAAAGCCAGGTGGGTGTAGGCCAGAGCTTCCTCTCTCAGAAGAAAGCTTTCCTCTATAAAAATAGAACCATTGCCCCTGCTTTGAGCTACGCAAAGGTGAGATCTACAGAATGGGCTCCTGCCTGCCTTGATATGGAAAAGGGAAACAGGGGGCCCCAGCCCCAACTGCTAAAAATAGGCAATGCCAATAGACTTTGACCTTGCTTCAGGGCTGGGCAGCGCACTATGGTAACCAGGCTTGGCTCTTTGAAGGGAGACGTAAGCTGGGTATGCAGAGAGCTGTGCCAAGAGCCCCGCCACTGCCAGCCCTCTGATTTGCATGCCCGGGCAGGGTGGGGACGTCATTTCTTGCAGGAGCCTCACATGGCAATAAGCCATTGGCCCAGTGGACCGTCCCCTTCCTGGCCCCCATCTATTATACCTGCCATCAATTGCTTCATTTGTCCCAGGCGCCCAGAAAATCAATGATCCAGGGAACGGTCCCAAAGGGATCACCCTAAATCACTAACGTTTCTCCCACAGGCAAGGCAGCCTTGCAGGTTCCAGCTAGCCTAAGTACGTCACCTCCAGGAGCTATGATGACTTCTTTTTTTTTTTCTTTTTAAGATTTTATTCATTTATTCATGAGAGACACAGAGAGAGAGAGGCAGAGACATAGGCAGAGGGAGAAGCAGGCTCCATGCAGGGAGCCTGAAGTGGGACTCGATCCCAGGACTCCAGGATCACATCCTGGGCTGAAGGTGGCGCTAAACTGCTAAGCCACCGGGGTTGCCCAGCTGTGATGACTTCTGGCCCCCCACCCCCTCAGCTGGCCCAGCTAGAAAGAGGAAACCAACACCCATGTTAGTCCACAAAGCCCTTCCTCCTCCATGAGCTCGGGGAGCCCCTCAACCTCCCCGTGATACAGATGTTACAGCCTCCACTTTACAGCTGAGAGCAGGCTCGCAAGCATAGTGTACTGAAAAGAGCACTTACCCCTGAGGTCCTGAGACCTAGGTTTGAATCCGAGCCATGCTACTCACTGAGCACCCTGCCAAAGTCTAAAGGCTTTCATTTCACCATCAAGAAGACAGAAAAATGTGACAAATGGCTTCTAAGGTCCCTTCTGGGGCTGCAGACTGAGGTCGTAGGCTGTATGCCTTGTCAACAAGAGTCACCAAGAAGGAGCAGTCCTACGTCTCAGGATCTCATCAGAAAGGTGAGATCATGAACCCAAGGCCAGATGAGCAAACGGCCACAGAAGGCAAAGAAGCTCAAAGGTTTCCTGAGAGGAGGAGAAGCAATGGAGGTGCAGAACACACCGCATGCAGGAAGAGCTGTCGTCTGAAACAGTCTTGAAGGACGGCTGGAAGTTTAAACAGGGTGAGAAAGAACATGCCAGGAGGGGAACCCACAGGCAGAGGCACACACGTAAGTGCAGGCATCACCAGATCGCAGCCCGTAATGAGCCCAGCCTAGAAATCAGACTGACAAGAAGGGTTCTGGGAGCAGCTGCTGCACATCCTGGGATCCTTAAAGTTAGGTGTAAAGTCAGGTGGACGAGGATCCCGCACCTGCTTCGTGGCACTCAGAGCTGGGAGCTGGAAAGACATTACAGGGTGTAGAGTCTGAGTGTCTGCAGGTGTCTGGCCTTGGAAGGACGCCTGGATCCTGACAAGACTGTGCCAGGGCACCGGCGGATGGGAATGAATGGTGGCCCAGTGAGCAGAGGTGCACAGCCAGGTCTTTCATAATGGAGCCACATCCTTGGCTTTCTGGGAATCCGAGTGGCTGGAGAGGGGTCACCTGGGGATGAGGACATGGCACCAAGGCAACGGGCAGCACATGGCTGTGCTGGCAGAAACGATGGCTGTTTTCTCCCTCTGACAAGAGAAGGGAAGGGGGGCAGACGTGTGGAACATGAGAACTAGAAGAGCTCTTAGGAACAGGTCCAAGAAACCCATTTTACAGACGAGAAAACTGAGGACAAGGGAGAAAGCCCCAAATAAGTGAGGGGCAGAGCCAGGAATGAGGACTAGGTCAGACTCATAGTCCGGGGCTGCAGACGTTCTGAAGCCCCAAAATACTGCATGTGTGTAGACACACAGAAGGCAGAAGGGAGAGGCGTTTCCGGGAAGAGGAGGGCTGACGAGTATCAGAGCTGGGGACAGCTGGAAGATACCAGACACAGAGGGGAACACTCTAAATCTGGCACTCAGGAAGCAGCTGGAAACGGAACTGTGATGCAGGTCTAGGGGGTACATGCTAGAGAAACATGCACGTTTCCTTAAAACCGAACAGTGAAAAGGATAGAGAGGGAAGGAAATTTTTCCTATAGGGTAGGAAAATTCAAAGGGTTTTAGCTAAATGACCCCAGTCTTCTCAGCAGGAGGTAAGGCCAAGTGCGAGCACAGTCATTGCAGAGACTGGACTGCAAGGCTGTGGTCAGGATTCCTAAGGGGAACCGAGGCCACGAGGGGCTGACACAAGGCTCCCAGAGCAGCTCAGGGGCTTGGACTTCACTGCATCTGTCATCTGTGACCTGTGCTGGTGCCAAAGGGCACGGGCCATGACCCTTCAGCCTGGGAGAAGCAGCAGAGGAAACAGATGGACCCGCGTGTTGAGGGGGGACCAGGGCACAGTCACGGGGGCAGGAGCATCAAAGGGCAGGTGAGCACACGGGCAAGGGGGCCGAGGCTCCTTCCGTCAGGTCTCCAGAGGGGAGAACGAGGCAGGAGGGGATGGTGAAGGTCAGAGGCTCCACATGCAGAGGGACTGGAAGGATGGAAGCAAAGGAAGTTATCATGGAATGGGAACGATGGAATTCCAGTTCCTGCAGCGATCGGGTGGTGAGGGGACCCAAGCGAACGTATGTGAGGTTTGCCCAAGTGGAGTTTCAAGGTGAGGAAACAGTGCCCGGGACGTTTAGGGCAGGCACTCTGAATTCGAGCGGTGGGGAAGACAGGCTGGGACACCAGGGCGAGGTCAGAAGACAGCAGAACCCGGCAGGGAAGCAGGAGGAGAAAAGCTCATCCGCCCCCCATCCAGGGTCCCAGCGGGTGGGGATGAGTCTCCAGCTGGGAAATGGAGAAGGGATCCGGCCAGGCCACCATCTCGAGGTGGCAAGAGTCAGGGAGGGAAGGGGATGGAGGCCAGGATGCTGGGAAGTCCTGATTCCACTGCGCCATCTCAGACTCCACATCACACCGATATTCTCGGGCGGACCTAATTTCCAGGCACCGATGCTGAGCATCTTAGCCTTAACCGTCACATGTGACCCTCCCGGGGGGTATCTGAAGAAGTGTCTCTAGGAAGCAAGGCTTAGCCACGGATGCTCAGACACCTCCTATCAGGGAACCCATCCTTTCATACAGTCTAAAATAGCACCGCCCCTTACTCGGTCTGCCTATCCCCTTACTCTGCTTTCTTTTTCTTAACATTTACTACCATCTGTCATGGATGCGTTCACTGCTTTATCCACAGTGCTTAAGAACAGGGCCCAGTGCATAACGGATCCTCAATCAATATCCTTTTACTCAATTATAATTTACATACAGTGTTGTAACAGTTCCGGGCATACAATATAAGGATTCCACAAATCTACACATTTCTCAGTGCTCACCAAGATACATATACTCTTAATCCCCTTTATTTCACTCATTCCCCCCACCCCTCGACCTCAAGAGCTATTTTTAGATTGTTGAATATATTATCTTTGGAACCCGATGTTAGGTTTCATTGGGGAGGGAGAGTCTGAAGCCACTCCTGCTTTTGAAGAGAGTGGCTCTGAGCTACATCAGGTTCACTCCCTCTAGCACCCCCACTGTGGACAGTTCTGTCTCCGGCAAAGCAAGGGAAGTCTTTGCTGACCTAACACCACCTCCTGGAGCCTGCAAGATGGTCCTCTAGCAGTGCCAAGCCCTGCTCCGACCGGCCCCCTGCACTCGCTAAGCCTGGCTGGGATCACATTCAGTGTGTTCACAGCACCCGCTCCAGCCCCCCGGCAAGAGTCCACAAGAAGATGCTGCTGCAGCCTCTCTGCCGGTTAAAAATAAAGCATCATTAAAAGAATTTCCAGAATGGTGTATCTGCTGCTTCCTACCTACTCTAGAAATGTGCCTATATCGCATCCCTCTGCTTGGAAACGTTTCCCGAAAGCATTCCCTTGCACAACAGGAATCCTTCTTTCTCTCTTCCTCTCCTGTTATTGGCCACCTCTAGGGGCGCGGGGGAGGGGGGCGCATATGGATGAATTCCACACGGGCACCATCACCACCACCCCCAGGCTCGCTACTGCAGCAACATCACGGTTTAACTCCTCTTTTTCTTTCCTCTACCAATCTCTAGCAACTGTGGATTTGCAATTAGCATGAAAAGTCAACCTACCCCAAGACGAATCAAAGGAGTACTTACAGCGACCTGGGAAGAGTCAAGGAACTGGAGGCCGAAGTAATCGGTTTCCACGAGGTCCAAGTGGTACACGATCTGATCGAAAAGATCCTGGCCTTTGGCATGTTTCTGGAAGACAATTGGACAGATGAAAATTTAGGATGTGACCGCTGGATAGGAGCAAAACGTTTTAAAAAGAAACAGCGCTCGCTTTGGCAGCGCATATACAACAAAAAAAGAAACAAAACCAAAAATCACTTTTGTCTCTATGTTGCATACGTGTATATGTACACATTTTTTAAATTTTAATTATTTTTATTATAATAAAAACTCATTATTCTATCTGATTACTCATAATGCAAACAAACCACCAAAGAACACTTTTATAGGATGAAGAGGGAACTAACGCCTTATTATGAAAACTGGCTAATAAAGGGGAAAAAAATCAAGCATTGATCTGGCTGTTAGATGTAGCATTGGGTAACCAAGGAGTAGATGATAAGATATACAGAAATTAACTCAAAACGGATCAAAGACCTAGATGCAAAAGCTTGAACTATAAAACTCTCAAAACAAAGGAACAAATCTTCATGACCTTGGATTAAACAATGACTTCTTAGAAATGACACCACAATCACCAGCAACCAAAAAATCCCAATAAACCAGAGGTGCCTGGCTGGCTCAGTCAGCAGAGCACGTGACTCCTGATCTCGGGGTCATGAGTTCAGGCCCCACTTTGGGTGTGGAGCCTACTTAAATTAAAAAACAAACAAACCAATAAACCAGGTCATCAAAATGTAAAACTTTCATGGTTCAAAGAACACAAGGACACTAAGAAATCACAAAGGCAACCCAAAAGGGGAGAAAACTTGCAAATCCCATATCTGATAAGGGATTTCTATCTAGAATATACAGAGAAGGGGATCCCTGGGTGGCTCAGGGGTTTAGCACCTGCCTTTGGCCCAGGGCATGATCCTGCAGTCCCGGGATCGAGTCCCACGTCCGGCTCTCATGTCGGGCTCCCGGCATGGAGCCTGCTTCTCCCTCCTCCTGTGTCTCTGCCTCTCTCTCTCTCTCTCTCTCTCTCTGTCTCTGTCTCTCTTTATGTCTATCATAAATAAATAAATCTTTTTTAAAAAATTGAATACACAGAGAACTATTACATCTCAATAATAAAAAATTCACTTAAAAAATGGACAAGGGATATAAAGATAGAACTCTGAAGATATAGAAATACCTAAGATGCACATGAAAAGATGCTCAACATCATTAGTCATTAGGGAAATGCAAATCAAGACTAGAATCAGGGACGCCTCGGTGGCTCAGTGGTTGAGCATCTACCTTAGGCTCAGGTCATGATCCCAGCATCCTGGGATCAAGTCCCGTATTGGGCTCCCTCCATGGAGCCTGCTTGTCCTCCCCCTGCCTATGTCTCTGCCTCTCTCTGTGTCTTTCATGAATAAATAAATAAAATCTTAAAAAAAAAAAAAAAACACCCACAATCAGATACTACCTCACCGCCACTGGGATGGCTATAACAAACGACAGATGATAACAAATGTTGGAGAAATTGGAACCCTCATATACTGCTGATGGGAATGTAAAAACCGTAGCCATTTAGGGAAGCAATTTGGCAGTTTCTCAAATGGTTATATATAGAGTCACCATTTGACCCAGCAATTCCACCCGAAGTATATATCCAAGGGAAATGAAAACACTGCGTCGTACAGAAATCTGTACAAAAATGTTCATAGCAGCGTTGTTCCTAGTAGCCCCAAAGTGGAAGCAACTCAATTTGCTTCAACTACCTATCATTTGATGCATGGATAGACATAAGGTAGAAAATCTTATCCACATGATGGAATATTATTGGACTATAAAAAGGTATGGAGGGGGCACCTGGGTGGCTCAGCGCTTGAGCGTCTGCCTTCGGCCCAGGGTGTGATCCTGGAGTCCCAGGATCGAGTCCCACATCAGGCTCCCTGCATCGAGCCTGCTTCTCCTTCGGCCTGTGTCTCTGCCTCTCTCTCTCTGTGTGTGTGTCTCTCATGAATAAATAAATAAAATCTTAAAAAAAAAAAAAAGATTAGTGATTGCTTACGGCTGCAGTATTTGTGGGGTGACAGCCAAGGTGAGCAGGGTTTTTGGAGGGGTTAATGAAATATTCTAAAATCGATGATGGGGCGGGGTGTCTGGGTGACTCAGTCCGTTCAGCATCTGCCTTTGGCTCCGGTCAGGATCTCAGGGGTCCTGGGATCAAGCCCTGCACATGGCCTGCTTCTCCCTCTGCCCCTCCCCCTGCTCGAGCTCGCTCTCTTGCTCTCTCTCTCTCTCACAAATAAATATTTAAAATAAAAAATAAAATCGATGGGGATAGACGCACAACTCTATACATATACTAAAAGCCACCGAATCCTACAGCCCAGAGATGAGTTATATGGTATGTCTACCTCAATAAAGGTATTAAAAAGAGGAGATGCACAGAATTTCTCTTTATAGTAGTACAGCAACAACAAAATGAAGAAGGAATACCAGAATTGCAATATCACAATTTTGCAACTCCTAACGAGCGGTAGGTGCTAAGCACTGAGCCCCAGTGGCTATAACATCACAAGACAACCAGCCATCGGGTACCTCCTGCTGAAGAACACCCCCACCCACCCAAGATGTCATCTTGCTCCCCACCATTCTCCCTCCACAGGGAAAAAACCAACAATAACAAACCAAGCCTGGGGCCGACTCAACCACTAGATCCAACTGCAGGAAATGCATGCAGAGGACTGTTCTCAACTACATGGAGCTGCAATCAGCAAGATCCAGCCTGTGGGGAATTCTAGAAACTCCTCCTCCAACACAGCTTCTCCAACAAACAGAAGAGGCAGAAAAGTAAAGGGATAAAGGGGCACCAGAGGGTAAAAAAGATTTAAAAGATATCTTTATTTTTTTTTAAGATTTTATTTATTTATTCATGAGAGACACAGAGAGAGAGAGGCAGAGACACAGGCAGAGGGAGAAGCAGGCTCCCCAACGGGGAGCCTGGTGTTGGACTCGATCCCAGGACCCCGGGATCACGACCTTGAGCCAAAGGCAGGGACTCAACCACTGAGCCACCCAGGTGCCCCTAAAAGACATCTTTAAAAAAAGGCCAAAAAAGAAACTGCGATGAGTAGGGACGCACGCTTGGGTGATAAAACTCGAAGAGTTGGTAAAGAAGGGGTTACAATAAACAATAAAGTCAGGGTACTTGTTGCTCTCGGGGGCCCAGAGGGGATGTGCTGGGGAGAGGGCCCACGGTAACCGTCCAGCTGGCCGGCAGGGTCCCAGCTGCTGACTCGGGTGGTGGGTGGTACCAGGGCATCTGCCTTCCCGTGGTTTGTTAGACTGTACCTTTGTTTTATTTGTACATCTGTATTTGTGTTATATAAGACAGCACTAACAAAAAGCAAAAACAAAAAACAAAAAAACCCTCAAAATTATAGCAGTGGATTACAGCCTTCAGATTCCTTCCTTCCTGGAAATACCCCTTGAAGGCGACGATTTAACAGGAGCAGAAGGCTCCGTGCACAGTGACGTTCTCTGTAGCATTGCCTCCTGGAGAAATAAAGGTGGGGGCAGGGCTAGGAGAAGAAACCACCCAAACTCCAACTGCAGAGACACAAGAGTTGGGCTGGTTAACACTCAGGAATACTGCTGGGCTGCTGGGACACATAACTACCAAGATGAGGCAGAAAAGGAAAAAAAAAAATTTTTAAAGATATTTATTTATTTATGATAGACATAGAGAGAGAGAGAGAGAGAGAGAGAGAGAGAGAGAGAGAGAGAGGGAGAGGGAGAGGCAGAGACACAGGAGGAGGGAGAAGCAGGCTCCATGCCAGGAGCCTGACGTGGGACTTGATCCCGGGACTCCAGGATCGCGCCCTGGGCCAAAGGCAGGTGCCAAACCGCTGAGCCACCCAGGGATCCCGAAATAAGGAAAATTCTTATGTGGACATTAAGTGAACAGACCACAAAGGAATAAGAAGCTGGGATTCCAACTACATAAGAGCATGTGTGTGCTGGGCACCCAGGTGGCCAGTGGTTGAGCATCTGCCTTCGGCCCAGGGCGTGATCCTGGGGTCCCAGGATCAAGTCCCGCATCGGGCTCCCTGCATGGAGCCTGCTTCTTCCTCTGCCTGTGTCTCTGTGTCTCTCGTGAATAAACAAATTAAATCTTTAAAGAAAAAAAAAGAATATGCACGCGCTGTATGGACTGCTGGATAGAAACGGCTTGTGAAAACAAAAATAGCTGTGTTGGGACAGAGAATCTATGGATGATTTGCTTCCGAAGTGTTCTTTAACACTGATCTTTTGGCAGTTGTTAGACAACAAACACAATTTAAAAAAAAAAATCACCATTCTGGCGCTCTTCTTCCGGATGTACTCCCTCCTAGGACTCTGGCACTCCCGGCCTATCCGACACCTATTACCACGGCGCCAATGCCTCATTAGTGGGTTTCCTAGTGGGACAGAACTAGTTAGCACACCGCTTAGCAGCAGGATGTGGCAGACAGAACGGGGCTGGCAGGAAGCAAGAGATCCACGCTCTAGTCCCAGAGGCATCAACTGCGACCCTGAAGCAATTCCTAATTTCCCCAAATCCCTACGACCATCCTGGATTTCCCACGCAGCCGCACATCAGGCACGGTGCCCTGAACGGGCAAGCTCGCTCAAACTCAGCTGACCCCAGATCCCACTGCTCTTGCGATTTTGGTTCAGGGCTTACCGTCCAGGTAAATCGTTTTAACACTCACAGAATAGGACCTGAAAAAAACACAGTTGCACACGTGTAAAGTAAGGGCCGTTAGTCTAAGCTTCTCTCCAGGTTATTCCAGATCTTCCTTTTCTGAGGTCTTTCTTTCTTTTTTTTTTTTTAAAGATTTATTTATTTTTTATTTATTCATGATAGAGAGAGAGAGAGAGAGAGAGAGAGAGAGAGAGAGGCAGAGACACAGGCAGAGGGAGAAGCAGGCTCCATGCAGGGAGCCTGACACGAGATTCGATCCAGGGTCTCCAGGATCACACTCTGGGTTGACGGCAGGTGCTAAACCGCTGAGCCACCCAGGCGCCCCTCTGAGGTCTTTCTAAAACGG